TACAAAAAAATAAATTCATAAATATCACATTTTAATGGTTAAAGCTAAGTAAAGATATAAGAAGCCAATTTTTTAGTAAATTAAGGTATAGTTTCATTTTGAAATTGAAATTTGTCAAGTAGCAGTATACTGATTTGTTTAGACTCAAAATTTTCACGATTATAATATTTAATTCCGAAATATACAATAAACCAAGGTATAGTTTGTCTTAGGCATTTGCACTCGCCAAGTAGTAATGTAGTAGTTTGGTCAACCTCAACACTTTTCTAAGGAAATTTTCCATTCAACAGTAATTACTACTTTTAACTGAAAAAAATGTTGGAATTTTAATGAATTATAATTTTTTAAATAGTAATTGATCAGTATAGTAGGGCTCAGTTTTTATCAGAAAAATATTTGATATTGTAATGGATCACAAATATAGTTTAACTTGAACATTGAGGTTCATGTGTACATGCATACGTGTGTATTAAAGTAGTAATGGGGTGCGTTTCTCATCTACGGCATTTGTTTAAGTATTAAGTAAGTGCTCAATTTAATATAGTTAATATTTTAATTGAAAATCATGTTTGAGTCACAATTAAATTGTAGTTATTTAAGTAGTAACAGATGGGTTTGGTCAGACTACAACTTTAACTAGCCAAGTACATGGTATGATACTGAAATGTTTAGTGAGCTAGAATATTGTAATATTTGGGAGTTGGAATTTGCCAAGTGGTAGTGTAGTAATTTGGTAAGTCGTAATATTTATTAAAAACATGATGATATTCTGGATTATTAAAGATTTTGGATTTTATAAAACTTGTAAGTCTTCAAGTAGTAATAGACGGGTTTAGTCCGTCTGAAAATTCTGACCACCGATATACTTGATAATAAAAAATATTGCAAACTTTAATCTAGGTAGACCTAGATATTTGTAATTGACAAGTAGTAATGAAGTCTTTTAGTCAGCTATGAAATTTTGAAGTAAATACTCAATTAAAAAATAGTTAATTCCTTCAATTCACAAAGATGTGTAAGTTTAAATAGTTGTCATTCTTTAAGTGTGAATATATGGATTAGGCAAGGCTTGAAAAGACAATTTGCAAAACATTTTGTATTAAAAAATTCAGTGAGTCAAGATGTAGCAGGAATTGGAAATCAGAATTTGTTACGTAGCGATTTAGTTAACTGTGCAAGTTTTTCATTGCTTTATGTTATAATAATTTTAAAAAAAGCAAATTTTTTTAGGTATTAAAAATTTTTTTTTTCAGTAGTAATAGACGAGATTGGTCAGACTCAAAATTTATCTTTGTATAAAAGCTATAACTTAAAAAATAGTGGATAAGTTTAGTCATACTCAAATTATTTGCTAATAAAAAATTTTAATGAAAATATTGAGTCAGCACATTTTTGACTTGGAACTGGCAATTTTCTTAGTAGTCATATAGTGATTTGGTCAGCCATGAAGTTAAATAAATATACATAAAAATACGATGACTTTTTTGATTTATACAGAAGTCAAAATAAAAAAAATAAAAAAATACAATTCTCTCACTAATAATAGATGAATTTGGTCGGTCTGAAAAATATTATTAAAATACGTAACAAAGGTACATCTCGAATTGAACATTAGAATTTTTCAAGTAGAATTTTAGTTGTTA